CTACTATCCATATTTACTAACGTATGGATAGCTTCTCACATGAGTAGGTACATTTGCATTGTGGCATGCCATCAGCATGTATCTTGATTTGATATCTATGTGACAATTTGACTTGGCAGCACATTTCATGCATAAATTACGACGCCAATTGGCGCTGCAGATCACTTGGACACTGGCAGTGTGCCCAAGGTCGAATGACCCTTAGTGAAAGTGAGAAAGTCAAGTGGAAGAAAATTTAATGCTAATCTATGGGTGTATACATTTTGTTACCAAACATTGGCGTTTGGCCTTTAAGAGTAGTTTGTATGCAATGAAGAGCGTTGGGGAAGTGGGAAAGGAAACTTGAACCAGGGCAGCTTAAGTTTTTACAAATGTATGTGTTTAAGTATTTAGACTGGTATATTCAGTTTTGAACTTTTTTTTTTTTGCATAAAGAGGTCAGTTAAATCTTTTATTTCAGGAATAATTTTTAAATTATATTTGCAGGCATCAAATTGGTACTCAAACACACGAAATTAAATGAATTTATTTAATTGCAAAACTACGTGAAACCTCAAACGATCTATATCCGTGAGATTTGCAAAATTGTTTAAAAATATTTGTAGCCAAAGTAATAAATATTTCAAATGGAAACTGCTTAACACAAATCATTTACGTCATATCCACCGGCTTATGTAGTTCCACAATTTTTGGTTTTTGTTAAGAAATCTACATAATATGTTTTGTAAATAGCACCGATTTCCAAAAGGTATTACTTGCAGAACATATATGTATATTTATCTACGTAAATATTTCATATACCTAAATTTCAATAGTTCAGTAAAAGTATCCTAACTTGGTGAATTTATATTTTTTATAAAAAATTATGAAAAGAAAATATTGCTTTGTTTACTGTATTCATATTATGCCATAAACACAATAAAGATATTTTTAAATACGTTTAATGTAATTTTTTCATTTAAAATATTTGTTGAATAAAAGTGGCTTTCCACGGTATGTAAGCATGTATTATTTCTGTACGTCAAAATCTCAGCATTTAATTACTATTTAAAATACGTTCGTGGAAACCAAAATAAACCAAATACAGATAAATTCTAAATATATGTGTGTCAGATGAAAATAGAAAAATTTATATTTCGTGTGTACATTTGCTTTGTATAGTAGCAAATTTCATTTGCGTTTGCAGAGTATGTTTGCCCTTTCATATGGTCACCGTGCCAACTACAGACGCAAAT